GCCGTCGGCGCCAGCCCGGATGCCCCGGCCCACGCGACACAGGACGCGGACGACTGCGTAGGACTTGCGACCGCATTACTCGAATCACCGCCGGTTTCGGTGAACCGGAAGACACCGGACGTGGCACTCGCCGATGTACTCGAGACGTCGCTACGTGTCTCGACCGACGTCCCACTAACCGCAGTTGGGACGAACGTTTTCGATACTTCCGCCGTGGTGACGTGAGTTACCGTACTCGCGTACAACTTCGGCATCCGCAATCGACGCCGACCCGACGCCAAGGGTATATCGCGGAGCGGAGACGGGCGCGACGCACTGTCCCGTCGTCGTCGACGTCGTCCCGGCTACGGGCGAAGTTGGTCAAATGTAAATCGCATTCCCGGTGATTTTTCTCCATGTACGATATAATCACACTTTTTAATGTTCGATTTACTCTTTCCATGGGATTCGATTGTGTATGGTAAAGCGGTGTGGTCGATTGAAGGATACCAAACTGCCCCGCGAGAACGGTAATTTCTCGATTTTTGAATTTGGTCCGGTTATGAGTAACTAATACGTGTAGCGCGCCCCACCTGCATAAAATTAAGTCTTTTAATACCTTTTTAACCTTCTTTCCAGTTGCTTTCCGCAAGGGACAACGTTCGATCCATTTCGTGAATAAATCTTGGACCACTAGTACGTACATAAAGCCGGAAAAACTTTGCGGAAATGGTCCCATAATATCCGCGGCGATAATGTTCCATGGTTCCTCCGCGACACGGTAACCCATTAAACCGGCTGGAGCTAGTTGTTCAATTTTGGCGCACTGACAGACGGTACAGCGCTGCACATATTCCGCGATGTCCTTATGCATGCCGGACCAATAATATCGTATGGTCACGCGATCACAGATTTTCTCTACTCCTAAATGTCCGACCTGAGGCTGGTCGTGGGCCTTCTTATAAATCGCAGCTCGTTGCTCTCTCGGCACGACTAACTTCCACTCATCGAGATTTTCGGTGCTTAATTAGCAGCTACCTCATCATTTCTTCTAACTGTTCACAGTAGAGGTCCGTCGTTATCGATTGCCCGGGTCTCATAAAACTATATTGTATAACACCCGTTTTGGCGCTCCATCTTTGTCCAACCATTGTGCTGAACGCTTGCGATTATCGAAAAGTTTCCTCTTTTCATCGCACGTGACTATCCGGTGCAAAAATGGATCGCCTTTTAGTCTTGATACCAAAGAACAGCAAACTTCGAAGCGGTTCCGTTGCTGACGCTCGTTCAACTCATGCGGAACCCACCAATCTAGCTTCTTTACTTTTCCGATTGCTTTCAAGTGACTTAATATTGTTGGGATGGTAACTTCATACCTTGCTGCTAATTCACACGTCGTTTCAGATTGATTTGCTTCTACTACAGCTTTCAGTTGGTTGTCATCCACCTTGCTCTCAGGCCGCCCGCGTGGTTCATTTTGAAGATCAAAATCTCCAGATCGGAATTTTTCGAATCATCGACGTACTGTACGTTCGTTAGCTACATTCTTGCCAAACACTTCGTTAACATTTCGGCTTGTCTGCGCTGCATTAGTTCACGACGGAACTCATATTCGAAAATAACTTGCATTTTTGTCTTATCCATGGCTTACAATATTTAAATTCCAGACGACAATACGATAGACTATTAAAAACAAAAGAGTACATCTGAAAGCCAGATGGCGTACCTTCTCAATGCAAAAAAAAAATAAATGACGATCGAAGTGAAATATCGGAGACATCTGGTATCAAACTTGAGGCTTTAAATAATCGGATATTTCATACTTAATGACAGTATACTATCTGAAAGTCGTATTCTAGAAGAGACAAGGCCCAGCGAGCTAACCGACCGTTCGGATTTCTCAACGACCTTAGCCACCGGAGGCTATTATGGTCGGTAATAACTGTAAAATGCTAATCTTCAAGATAATGGCGAAATTTTCCGATCGACCATATGATGGCTAAGCATTCTAATTCGGTAGTCGAGTTTTCGATAGGGATGGATCACTCACTATGCGAAAGTTCGATAATTCCCTTTTGTGTCCTTTAGTGCCCTTTTTTATCACAGTTCCAACACCTCGCGGCTTCTAATTCTGTAGCATTATTGAACGGGGGGTTGACAGTACTATTTTCGGTATTCGTTTTATGCGCGGGACCTCGCGACGGTCCTGGGTCTCCCTCTACCCAGATTCTTTCATTTACGCGGTAGTTATTATTTTTCTCACGCCTACTTACGGTGCGGTTTGGAGTTGCGCCGTATTCAGAAATCCTGACAAGATTCTGCGTACGCGCCAGAAGTCGATGACGAGGGGCCTTCCTCCCACGCAAAGATCGTTCCGGAGATGGGGGAAGACGGTATGCCCTCATGGTGCTCTGAGTTTGTTCCGCCAACCTACCCGCGAGAGTCGGGCTCGCGAAATCGGTTGCTTCGCTCCGGGACACGGCTTGTTGCAATCGAGGAACCATATGTTCATGCATGCACGTTAATTGGTCTACTAGAGGTCAGAGTGGTCGCAATCTATTCAGCAAAGCGCGCATGCGGGTGATATAGTCAACAACCCTTTCATGCTACCCTTGAATTCCATTGGCGATTTCGTGTCACAGTGCCCTTTGTAACTCATGATCGACAAATCGCGCACGCCACGCGTCTTTAAATTCCTCCCACGTGGTCCAATTTTCGTCTCGAAATCTAGCCCATTTGGCCGCGATACCGGATAAAACGAGCGGAATACACCTTAATAACTCGGCGTCGGGAGTTGCTGCGTACGCATTCCTCTATCTGCCTTAAAAACATCTCGGGGTCCTCCCTACTAGCCCCGGAAAATCGAATATTACATTTTCGTAACAAGTCCAGGACCGCAGCATTCAGAACGGGATTACTTCCGAGAGTTGACGGTACAAAAACAAACCGAAAACATTCGACTCGGATGTTGTACGCAATGCCTATCTACGGTTCGAAATTTAACCGTTCAGAAACAAGACCGTTTCTTAGTTTTGTCCAGTCAAAACTAAGAATCTTGTAGACTGTTACCAGTTAAAACTGCTCCAGTTCGTCGCTTCCGAAGAGGTCCGGCACATAGTACTTCAAAGATTGTTTTGCGCTCGCAGCCTCTGCTGTACGCCCTTTTATACCCAAGAGAATCATGAGTTTTTCCCGCTCAAAAAGTATTATTATTTTATTACGCTTTATTTGGTGGCAAATATATATTAGTTTGATTAATAAAAATACGCTTTGATTTATTATTAATTAGTTTCTCACAAGTTTTCCCGTTAAATCGTATTTTTAATCATTTTTGACACGCAAATTATAAGTGTTTCAATAGAAGAAATAATTAATCGCAAACAGTACATAAAATAATAACTAAAAATATAACGCAATTTATGAGCGAATAATTAATAATATATATACAGGGTGTTACCTGTAACGCTACTCACGATTTTTCTCCCACTTGCAGCCACCTTACGAAAAAAAGTTAGTAAAGTTAGTTTACGAAAAAAAGTTTAGAACAATATTTGTAGGGTATGAAGTGCACAATAGATATTAGTAAAACAAATTTTGAAAACAGTTTGTTTTCTTGGCGAAGTCAAGGTCACCTTGTGTTTTTTAAATAGGAACATACATTTTTTTTTATTCATAGCTTTAGAGGACATTGAGACGAATTCAAAACATATACATATTATATGATATTTTTATTAACATATTACTCCATTTACAGAAGTGGAAATGTGAAGTAAAAGACCGGAATATTGCGCGATAGAAGGCGGCATACATTTTGAGCATGTAATTAAATAAAGTTTATTTTGGAATAAAATAAACTCTTTGGAACTAAATCATGGTTGTACTACCAAAGTCACAATAAGTACTTCACATTTCCACTTCTGTAAATCGAGTAATATGTTAATAAAAATATCATGTAATATATGTTTTGAATTCGTCTCGATGTCCTCTAAAGCTATGAATAAAAAAAAATGTATGTTCCTATTTAAAAAACACAAGGTGACCTTGACTTCGCCAAGAAAACAAACTGTTTTCAAAATTTGTTTTACTAATATCTATTGTGCACTTCATACCCTACAAATATTGTTCTAAACTTTTTTTCGTAAGGTGACTGCAAGTGGGAGAAAAATCGTGAGTAGCGTTACAGGTAACACCCTGTATAATATATAGTAATTAATAATTTAATTTCGTATGATATATTCTGAAACACGGATGCACGCACAACCCAACATCACATTCTTGGCATTGATATTGAGATTCTCAAAGGAGTGCAAAACCTAAGCACTTTATTGAAATGAAAAGTAACTTATAATACTTGTAAGAAGTGAGGATATTTTTAGACTGCAGGCGGATGTACCAATACAAAACTTCGCTGAAATTCTTTATCCTAAAGTTTGTAGTATTTTCGATTTTCTATTTCTTTATGACACGTAACACAATAGTAATGAAAAAACGCAGGTAGAACGAATATAATTTGAATGGTGTGTCGTTTATTCGTTTCGTCAAAAGATTTACGCATCAATCACAAGGGGCGTTACTATCCAAAAACTAGGTCGCGGTTTTACCAGCATGTCGGATATATCCGGCGTTCGTCTCCAGAGGGCGATCATGTTGCTACGCGGTATTTCGCGGCTAGCTCGCTAGTTGCCCGCGACCTCGCTAGTTGCCCGCGACCCCGCTTCGCCTACGAATTCTCGAAACGGCCCTTCCGACCTAACCCGCGACCACGACCGTCGCAGCGCCTCCGCGGATTCGCACGAATCGATTCTGTATCGACGACCGTCTAGAGAGAGAAGGCGAGAACTAGCGCGACAACTACGAAATGTCCGATACGACAAAACATGCACTTTCTGATCTGCTCCCGCGTAAATGAGAATTCGAAATCGAGACGTGGGTGGCACAAGATTTGCAACGCTTTCGCGAGACTAGGAAACTAAATTGTGGCTTACGCGGTACCAATCCCCCAGGTCCGATTCAGTGACCTGCCGAGCGTGGCTTATAGGAAGATCGAGAAACGATCTTCCTATTTCACGATACTTCCGGATTTTCCCCAATTACTTAATCTAATTACTAACTAACAATCAATGCCGACACTCCGGCCACATTTTGCAGAATCGGCCGGTGATTGGCTCGCCCGGTGTTCGACAACCCACGGTACGTTATTCTCGATTTCAAATTCTTTACAACGATATAAGGTGAGGAGCTTACCGAGATGTCCGATACAGGCGGTTACGCTTTTAGGCGGCAGCGGTAAGTCCGGATTGATTGCCTTTACAATTTCGCTAAATACCAGGTCACTGGGCAAAAGCCGAATACAGAATGCTAAACCGCGTGCCCTTATGCCGGTATTCGGACACCTTGTGATCACCCCCACCCTAGGCCGAAGTCTCCGTCTTCTCGCGAAGGCATCTTCGGCAGGACCTCTTCTTGCTCCGCGACCTCTCTTCCTTATCTTCGGCAGGACCTCCTCTTGCTCCGCGACCTCTCTTCCTCTATCGCTGGTCCTTAGCGGGGAAGCGGCAGGGTAGCGGAACCTTCCTTAGGTGTACGTCGCTCTCTCGCAAACCTTCCTCCCCTTACTCTGCTGCCTCTCTTGGTCTATTGCTGGATCCGAGCGGGGTAGCGGCAGGGTAGCGGCGCGTTCCCTCGACGTACGTTCTTCCTTCGCTGGTGATGACGTCGTTACCCAATGGTACATACAAAATAAAGCGGCGGCAGATTTGGTTCATACGATATTACGTGCGCTTCGTTCTCTCTCTAGACGGTTTTTGCCCCTTATGCAATGACTGTCCGGTCCTCCGAGGAGGTTCCTTGTGACGGGTATAAAATACCACGTCACAATGTGAATGTCGGATATATCTGGCGTTCGGCTCTGCGGGTTTTCATGTGGATGACGGATATATCCATCGTTCGGAGCGAAAGGGTTAATATTGCCTACTACTTGATGCGGAATTGCTAATGACGCAAGATCACACAATTCATTTCGAAAACTATCCCAGCGCGTATGAATGTCCTGCGGTAAACTTTCATCCCAGCTGACTTAAAGTTGCCAAAGTTCTTGCATTAGTAATTTAGCTTTAACAATCACAGAACCAATAAGATCGAGGGGACCAAAAGTTTGCGCTATTTCTGACAAAACACTGCGTTTTGTGATTTTGCCTGATGGAAATAGGGTATGATTTCTGATGAAATATGGGAGATTATTAAACTTAAAATAACACAAAAAACACAATGACTTTTAAACACTAAACGAATTTATTATATAAGGAAAGATAACTTGGAAGGACCTCTTAAAATAGCACACAAGATTTTGTATTCGCGTGAGAAATATTGTAATCATAGAGAAACAATAAAGAAGAAGAGTATGGGTATTATAGTGGGTATTATATAATACATTATATGTATTATAGTGCGATGCTCACGTTCCGGATTGTTGACTGTTCCAATTGGCTACTTGCGCCCAATCAGAAAGTGGGACTTTTTTTGATTATGCGTACAATTAAAAAACTGGGAAGAGCGTGCGCCAGATTGGATTAAGATGATGTCCTGTTTCCCGGTTGATGTTGTTCGGGTGTTTCCTTATCTCTATTGCTTCCCTGAGCTTTCTA